TGTTATTTTACCAGAAAAGAAGATGCAAAAATGTCTATTATCAGCCCTGTTACATCGTTGACACATAAGAAAAACAAGATTTTTAACCCAAGTTTCGAATGTGTTAGAAAGGAGTAAAAATTTTTTTTAAATAATTTAAAATACTTTGCTCTTTCCTCTTAATAATAACAAAGATTTTGATGATAAAACTTTGTTTATATTAAGTTTGGGGCGTTTTTTCATCATACTATGCTGTTTTATTTTAGCAAAAAAGTAGAGGTACCTAAATTATATATACTGTTCTGTTAACACAATACAGAAACTGTATTGTTTTACTTCCCCTTTGTTTTTCCCTTTTTTAGTTAACTTCTAGATTGGTTACCACTTCAACCACTTCCAGTTAGTCCTTAAATGGAACCCCAAATAATAAAAGCATGACACCAAAGTACGTGGTCATGGTCAGTAGTCTCATCATCCTCTTAATCTCACCCTCAATGTTAGCAATCACACCAGTTTGTAACTTTTATTACCTTTTCTCCTTATATTTGCATATTTTATTATCAAGTCATTATTTGAACATTTGTTTTATACCCGCCATATTTCATAAGTTTATTTTACATTTGTATCTCTCAATATGTGTCCACTGTCTACACACACACACACTCTGTTGTAAAATGTAACCATCTAACTTCTTTTGCCATGAACTCACCACAATATTGGAATGTATTCCTTTAGCAAACTTTATACATATTCATGTAAACCAATTATTCACTACCTTCTTTTACCCATTTAGACAAATGGTCTTACGTCTATGTCCTAGATTCTGGCTGCTTTTGTCACATTTCTTGTCACCCTTGTTTGTTTGTATTTTCAGACTAACTCGTCTTATTTATATGTATTTATTTTCCTTTCATAGTTTTACCCTTTTGGTTCTTAATAAACCTGCCAATATATGGAACATCACAGTCTTCAGAGTTTAATTGCCTTAAGGCATTTATCTGGCCGGTTTCAAGATTATGCACATGTATGACATGGACGCATATTCCTGGGGGCAGAACTATATATATATATATATATATATATATAGAGAGAGAGAGAGAGAGTGTGTGTGCATGTGCACACATGTCAACATTTTATCATGATCCCCAGTCCCATTATTGGGTGTGGTCTAGGTAGCAAGTGTAAATTAATATCTTAAAAAATGTACTGTTTAGAAAGTTACAAGTGTATGTGAAATATCCCAAAATTTTGCATCGTTTTATGCAATCATCTAAAAACAAAAGAAAAAACAAATCAGAGAGGGTACAAAAAAGGACTTAAACCAGAGTCTAAGAATTTGTTCCTTAAGATTTAAATAACATGAGTCTTATATTTATCAAATTGGAATATGGTTAGCAACAATTCTGAGAAATTTGAAAATTTTTATGTTGTTCTTGTTCATTGGAAATGTATTAATTTCTTACTGCAACCTCCCCCCCGCCTTCACCCACCTCCTCATAGAAGTGCAACTTAAAAAGCCTTACTTGGAATTTAGGGAAAAATAAGAAAAGTCTGGACAACAATAGAAATCTACAGTAACATTAGACAAATGTTTAGATGAGTAAACATTTGTTAGGTCAGAGGTCATTTCTTGTATAAGCCAGTGATTTTGAGCAGCAGTTGTCATTAATAAGTAGTTGTCTACTAGCGTTCACATGTTGTCTAACATCCGGTGAAAGTCACAGAACAAAAAGTCATTCACAGAATGCACACAGAAGTGCTACATTCAAGAAATTCTTTATTCATTTATTTTTATATGTGGACACTATTGTCCTCATCTTTGCTATTACAATGTTTCAATCTGAGCAGTATTAAAAATAAGAATCAGATGAGATATCCCCAGACATGGGCAGTAGAATAAAAACACTCTACCCCTATAGCTGGATTGACATACACCTGCTGAAGGCCAGAAGGCACAACAGCTAAAGCATTGTGATAACAACAACAAAGATGAGGACAATTGTCCACATGTAAATAATGAAAACAGTAATTTCTTTTTCTTTATGCAAAGAAGTAAATTTGTTTTAATTATATTCCTGTGTTGGTCATCATTGCCAACAATAACCCTAATACTTCAATTTCTAGTGAGTTCCAGCAAAAAAGATACCACAGCTTAGTAGGAATTTCAAATTCTTACAACAACTACTACTACTACTACTAGACAATGTAATCTTAATCAGGTGTTTTCCAGGTGAAACTGTGAGAATTAAAGCTTCAATAGACACTGGTCAGTGACAATGAACAATTACAAAAACCTTATTCAGTGAATGCCTGACAAAATCCTAGCATCAATTGGTCCACAATGTGTCTGCTAACCTCTGTTTTGGCACTGACCTGTAAATAACTGTTATTTGTCTTTGGGCCCCTATGAAATACTATCACAAGTTTCCATAATATTGTTTCTGTCCTTTTGGAAACATAATTAAATCTATTGGAGTGTTGTTTCTATTGGTTTAGAGGCATTTTGTTTGCCCAAGTCCACACTCATTTACCAATGAGGAACCAAAGACAGGTAGATAGTCCTAAACTTGAGGAGTTTATTAGGCTCTCTTCCAGGCCTAACGAAATTAAATATTGGAACATATTATATATGCTTGCTGTGAACTTGGTAATAGCCAAATCCTGAAGGAAAAATTGAGAAAAGACACTTTTCAATGACAATATTAGATTTGCTTCTGTACTTGAAATAAAAAAACAGAAAGAAAACTTGCATTATAACTATTTATTGTGAATACTCTAAGCTTATTCTTGGACTAAATATTAGAATGGATAAAATGTACTAAGCTTCAAATCTTTCCCTCAAAAGATTTGAATGGATAAAAAGTATTAAACTTCAAATCTTTCCCTGTTAAAAACTTGTCAACAAAGAAAAAATATACACAATTTTATAAATAGCAAAAGTCAAATAAGTTTTTTTTCCAAAATAAACAAAGAAAAAAAAACAATACTTGTGATAAACCCATTTTTGAGCCAACAATTTGTCCCTTATAAAAATGACCTCTCTAAAATTGTTTCAAATGTTTAATTTAAATCCAAACTGTAATTTTTAAAATTTATCCATTTATTTGAGAGACTAATAAAGTTATTATGTTTATGTATGTAGATAGAGCCAAATAAATAATATAAAAACCTTTCGTGGATGATGCTGGTTCTATATATATATATATATATATATATATATATATATATATAAGGTTTTATGGGTCTAACATGCACACATGAATGAGAGAGAGAGTTAAAAAGAGTATTCATGAGAAAATTAGATTTAGAACAAAGTATCTGAAAAGCATGTGACCATTTAACATGATGCCAACATGAAATGACAAAACATAGTCTTGATTCTACACTAATTAAATGAGACAGAATGTATGGAATTTATACCCTAGAAGTTTGTTGAGTCTCCATTTTTAAAGCTTCAGACAAGGCCAACATGTGAAAAGTGGGGATGGATAGAATTTGTAAAGAAAAAAGAAAAAGAAAAAAAGAGAATAGTAATTTATCAGTCAACTGGTCACTAAAATTACCAGTCAGTAATAAAAAAAGATTGTGGAAAGAATTTAGTTGAATAATCTATAATGAAATTACATCCTAAATGGACAAATGATATATGATATAGAAATGGTATTTCCTGTGTATAGAAGTATGTCTGTGTTTCTGCAATGCTAAAATTTTGGGAATTGACAAATCAGCCTATCCCTTTCCACCAATTAAAACACCATTGACATCAATCCATCTCTTTTCCACCATTAAAGAATAAACATATACATAGAACAGAGATTAGCAGGTTAATCAAGCAAGCCATTATCAGAGATTTTGATTCTCACAAGGATCCACTATTATAATCTCATGCAAAAGAATGTTAAATTTAGTAAATATTAAGCATAACTAGTATAGCAAGCAGTCCCAAGTTGGTTCCAACAAAGACCAGCTTGGTAAAAAAAATCTACTTTAGGCTTGCCATGTGGATAAGATAGTTGTGTATCCACTCTTCCCTCAGTGTCAAATGTCAATGTTTGAGAGATGCTAATTTTTGTGACGTACGGTGGCCGTTAATAATTAAGCATAACTCATGACTTCGATGTTCAAATAAAACAGTATTTAATTACAAGCACAAAAATACAAGAACAAAGAAGTAAAAGTCAACCAAAGATAATTAACCATTTCAGTGAATACCTTGTTTATTAGCGCAGCTCAGCTTAATGTCCAGTAAATCAAAACCCAAAATCATCAGCACACAATAATTTGACTGGATATAATCACTCAATAATCAACTCCAGTCAGTACCCTGACACCAACTTTTTTATACACCTGGCAGAAAGCGTATATTCCTAAGTCCCGAGTGTCACACGCTCAAACCTCGGTGTTGGTAGTTACTCATTTTCTTCCCATATGACACTGAAATTCAAGGTAGGCTAAATCATTTCAATGTCGACAATGTAACAGTATTCCTAGCATTTGACACTGGATTAGAGCAGAGCTAATAGATATCTACAGCAAAATATAAAAGCTACACAATTTTCATCAGTGAAAATTTATTCTTGGCTATATAGTTATTTTACTTATGTTTCTGTTATCATAAGAAATCAAAATGAAATAGCAAACAAGGAACAAATGTAGAAGACAGAGAGTGAGATCTGTCTACTTATTGTTACATGTTAAATAAAGACATAATTATGCAAGGCTTTTTCAACAATGAGTAAATGTAGAGCAACTTTCAATACCAATGAGAAAAAAAATCCAAAAATGTCAACTAAAGAAAGGACAAGACTCATTTACTAAACTTTTGCATTTAAAAAAGTCTAAGCAATAAAATTATTTTATTTCAAGAAAAAACAATTGAAATATCCAATTAAAAAAAATCGATCTTAATTTTATATATAAAATTTTATGAAAAATGCAACAATTTCTAAATTTTTTGAGCATCAGAAAAATTGATCTTTAACAAACTTGAAAGAAAAAAACAAAAAGATGTTAACATTAACTTACATGGATGTATTCAAAGAGCTGTCCTTGTGTGCATCAGACTCTTGCTCTTCCTCTTGCTCTTCTGGTGGGCCAAGTGATTTGATACAAATCGATGCAACTTGAAAAGAATCTTTGGGTCTATGGAAAAATTAAAAAAATATTAAGAATCCATTCAGATAACTTGTCTTCCATTTAGTCACATTTCTTTACCAACATACAAAGTAATAAGTTAAAAAGAACTTACTGCTTAAAATATATATATATATAATACAGGGTGTGGCAGAAATACCTCCCACATAATAGTAAAACATTAGTGGCAATGGTGTCTTCATCTAACTAATGTCTTACCATTATGTGGGAGGTATATGTGGGAAGTATTTCTGCCTCACATAAACACAGATCGATGTACACTGTGTGCATGTGTTTTTGTTTTACAATATATCAAACTCAATGGGTTATTTAATGCTGACAAGATTTTTATTGCTGGTAATATTTCTTTTCAAAAGTATTTCTGATAATATTTTTATTTTTTCAAAAATGTATAGCTGGTAAGAGTTTTTTCTTCAAAAATTTATTGCTGGCAATAATTTTTACAAAAATGTATTGCTGGTATTAAAACCTATTTTCACATGTTTTGCCCATAGCAGGTGCTACCACTCCAGGTCAGGGTAAACCTGGGAACACCAACAATTAAGAGGTAGTTCCACACCTTGCTGTTGGATGTAGTTTATCATCATACCTAGGACGAGTGTGCATGTATGAAGTGCTTGCCAAACACTGAACCAACTCAATAGCATCTTAAAAATAAAGAATAACATGAGAGTAAATAATGCTCTTTACTTCCTGGTGGGAATAATTTCAAGAGATATGTGAAATGTCTGGCAAGACATAGGAAACACTATAAAAACTTAGCAGATGAACAGATTGTTTAAATTGCCTCAGAACTTTGACCCATATTTTATATATATATATATATATATATATATATATATATATAGTAATACCTTGAGATATGCATTTAATTCATTCCAAGACCGAACTTGTAACTCAAAAGACTTGTATCTCAAATCAATTTCCCCCCCATTGAAATTAATGGGAATATTTTCAATCCGTTACATGCTCCTAAAACTCATCCCTATTTTTGATTTGTGGATTTCTTACAAAGCAAAAATGTGTGAATAAACAAGAAATGTAGTTTATAAACAATAAAATGAAAGAGAAAAAAAAACAAATTGTAAAGAAATAAACTGTACTAAACCATGAAGTTCAGATGAGTCAAAAGGCCAACTGGCATAGAGGAGAAAGAGAAGGACAACAGCAGCTAGCTTAGCAACTACTAGCCTAGTCTACAATACTGAAGATTAACTTTATCACTTAATTTTAAAATTTTTTAAAACATTTACATTTTATAATTTTTTATTTATTGTCAATGTAGAAAACTAATACTATCTTGCTAAATCCATTACTTGTATGTCGTCCTCATGTTTTTTTTTTATAATTTCCTGCTTTACCTCAAGTAAAAACATACATTTTGGCTTTTCACCACTGCTCTTTACACTTACTTTCTTTGGACCCACAGTGTCACTAAATGAATTTCAAAAAATAACTGCAAAAAAAAAAAAAAACACACACAAGAGAGATCCTTCCAGAGCAAGGTAAACAATGAATACATTGCCATCCACAGATCTCCAATGTCCAACCCTGAGTCCCTAGATATGGTGACTGGGAAAGTCAACTTTCATGAGAAAAGACATCCAGTAGGATGCCATAGAAGTAAGGATGAGACAACCTCTCCGTCCGCTTGGTGGCAGTGGCTGGCAAACTGCAATCACTTTTGTTTGAGCCTAAGAGAGACTAGTCTCAATTCTTCGTAAATTGTGTTAAATGTTGCATGGGATCACCAACTGATGTTCTGGATTTTTCTTGTATATGTTTCATCCAGTCACCTTTCAAGATGAGCAGATAATGTCCAAATTTCTGATCGATACAGTAGGACTGGTTCAATCAGTGTTTGAAAGGTTTGGACTTTTAAAGAGGATGTAAGTTTTGAGCACCAAAACTTGTGAAATTTGTTATATGCATCCCATGAAAGAGCTTTGCGGATGCTGAAGTCTTTTTGGGAATCTATTATGCAAAATCCAAGATATTTGAAGTCTTCAACTCTTTTGATGAATGTATTATTGAGTGACTTCAACTGGGATGGTTCACGGGGGTTGTGATATATTCTGTCTTGCTCACACTGCAATAGAGACCAACATATAGGCATTACTATATATATATATATATATATATATATATATATATATATATAAAGGGCACAATGCATAAATTGTTGTCTAAATTACCAAGATTTTACCAAAATAAAATACATAAAAATATCTTGAAATACTTAAGAGTAAATTTATTCAATAAAATCATCACTGGCTCCATGGCCTCCAGACGACTTCGGAATCTCCTGCAACTTTTCTGAACAGTCTTCTTGTTTAAGTTGGTGAATGCTGCCATAGTCCTTGCCTTCAGTCCATCTTTGATGTTACAGGGAGCTTTATTGGTCTCTTAACCAATTGCACCCCACACATAATAATCAAAGATGTTGTAGTCTGGAGATTTAGACAGCCAGATGTAAGTGGTGATGTGGATACAGAAATTGTCTGACAGCCATGACTGGGTTCTCCTACTTGTGTAGCAAGGTGCAGAGTACTGTTGCCAGAGATAGGGTCTTCCAGCAGCCACCCTCTTGACCCAGGGCAGCACTATCTCCTCAAGGCACTTGATGAAGGCCTCTGTGTTGAGTTAGAGGCCCTCAACAACAAATTTAGGAGTTCTTTTCTTATCAGAACAATGAAAGTGGGTTTTCCCTTTGTAATCACCATTAGACTCCTCAACTCTTTCCAAATCCTCTGCACTGTCCTCAGATTGACACCCAAACACTCTGAAATATTCATATTGGAGATTCCAGTAAAAATGTGAAGCAGCACAGCATATTGTTTCCAAATTTCTGGCAGAGTAAATTATGTCATAGTGCTCTTTTTCTCACAGACAATGCCCAACTGACCCTACTATACTGTACAGTCAACAAAATCAAAAACAATGTGCATGCACAAAATTAGAAATATAAAATGGCGACAATTTACCCATCTCATCCTATATATATATATATATATATATATATTCTCTTTGAACTGTTACAAGAATGTTACAGTTTAAAAAAATTAACTCAAAAACTAAATACAACAGTTAAGAACAACATTTGGAAAGATGTTTAAATGTTGGAAACAGGTTCCCCATGATTTGTTCATGCTAATTTAAAAATCATGTCTTATTTCGTGGACATATATATGAACTCAAAATAAGTGCAAAAGAAATTATAAAGAATGGAAAACACAATTATTGAGACTGGATAAGATATTTTAGAATTCAAAACTCAACTTGGTTTATACAATCTACTTGGAGATAACAATTTTCTGTATTTTACAAATTTGTTCTCCATAAAGCAAACAGAATGAGTTTGGCATACTGACACTTGTTTATGCAAATCCCATTGAGAATTTTCAAGGGGAATTTAAAGCTTAATTCAAGGATATTTAAAATTCCTGAACAGATTATTTCTTCATTTGATATTGAAATGGAAAATGTAAATTTAGACACTTTTAATGAAATAGAATGTATTGAAATAATTTTTGATCTTGAAGCAAAGTCTATGTTCACATTTAAAGTAATTGGATCTTATTGGATGAAAAAAAAAAAAAAAAAGAAAAAAATCCCCAAATATTGCAAGCTTTGTACAAAGTGTGGCAGAAATACCTCCCACATAATGGTAAGACATTAGTGGCAATGGTGTGTTCATGTAGCTAATGTCTTAACATTATATGGGAGGTATTTCTGACACACCCTGTATAACTATTGAGTTCATTTTGTTAATTTTAACTTAATTTAATTAAAGTTTGTATCTAGTGGGATCTAAGTTTAGCCATCTTCTTTATCAACTATTGTGGAGTTGAGTAGCCATAGTCAGATTCAAAATAAATAACAGAACAGAATTAACAAAGTTTGCAATAAAAAGAAAAGGGAACAGGGCAAAAATGAAATAATATAAAACAAGCAAGCAAACAAGATATGCAAAGCAAAGTAACAGTAAGAAGACAAAAAGTTCACAAATTAAGAATTGGCATCAATACACAAAAGTAAGTTTGGACAAGTGAATGTAGCATTCTGACTTCTAGACAAGGCAGATTGGGACCAAGTTGTGTCAAGCGGGGAAACCAGCCTATTTTATTGGCTAAGAAAAAAAAAAATCCCAGCATACATTTGTGCGTTTTCCCTATAAAAGGGAAGGTGCAAGTGTTTTGCAGTCATTCCCAGTAAGATTGAAATCACTTCCACCCCTCAAACTAGTGCACTCATATTTACCTCCTCTAAATTCCCCACTTTCTATGGGGCCAATAAATACAAACAAGATACATGCAAACATTTACATATGTATAATTTACTTATATAACAAAAATGTTGTTTTTTTTTTGTTTTAATATTTCAAATTTTTTTTTAATATTTATTTTCAACTTTTAATATTTCAAATCTTTTTTCCTTTTTTTTGTTATCATTTCTTAGGCATTTTATAGAACCATATGGAGCAATGTCAGCCAAATATTTCTTTGTGGAAAGAAACATATCAGAAAATAAATCATGATTAGACCAGAATAATCATCCATGAAACAAAGCGTATATTGAAGCCATTCAAAAAATCTTGGTTTGATCGCCCTGGCTAGATCACAATGAACAACATCTAATATTTTAGTTTCCCTTGTCAACTAACTTGTTTTCATACAGTGTCATTTTGCCTTGAATACATATTTCACAGTTTAAATCTGATTTATCCACAATTTTCATGCCAACCACAACTTCTTGTATAATGTCTTTCAGATTGCAATGTTCAAGAATTTGATGCCATTGTTTTAAACTACACAGGGAAGTTTTGGTGGTCACTACTGTATTTAAATAGTATAAGCGTCCATTAGTTTTTGTCAAATTTCACACTGTTAGAGTAGATAAGTTCCAAGTAATTATGGTCAAATTTTACAGAAACTCCTTTTTCAGTAGCAGCTTGTACTGAGAATATATTTTGTTTGAACATAGGGATG